TTTCCCATAAATGGAATAGGATAACAAAAAAACATCAAGAGAAGAGAATGTCCTTTCTCAGTCTAAAGGAATGATGTAACAATACTCCTGCAAACTAACAAGCCACAGGAGCTCACAGTCTATAAAAGGAGGCTGAAACCATCCGCATTCACAAATCACTGCTTGTAGTTTCACCTGCCATTTAAGGAAGTCCTGCACTAAATAATCCTCCAAGGTGATTTATAACAGACTTGACTGCACTCCAGGACATGTATGAGTCAGAGCTCATTTCACTTGTAGAAATGGTAAAACTTATTAAGCTATATTACAATACGCAGCTTTGGTAAGTGAATTGTTGATCCCCTGGAAGAAGTCTGCAATGAGGTAATGCCACAGTGGTTTGTGCTATTAATCACACATTCCTCCTGGTGATGTGGCCACACACTGGCAGGTTTCTTTCTTATTTATGAACAAGACATTTCTGTAGAATGCAAAATTTCTGCTTTCTGCTGCCTTGTTAATCCAGGTGCAGAGTTAATGAAGTCGTTTCAGAAAGAAGAAAAGAGAATCCAGCATTTATAGCACTGCTAAAACCACTGTTCACATGCTATTATTGAAGGAGAGAGAACAGGTAGAAGAGCCGGTAAAACATTTCACAATGTCCACACCCTGACCTATAAAGGTTTCTACAGTTTTGCTGGGAGATGCCTGGTCCTGTGGATGAATCATTTAGAAAAGGGAAGGATCTATAAACAGCGAAGCAAGGGAAGAATAAGGCTTGAGAGGCTTGCACCCCCCATCCTCCTCATGTTCAGACTTATGCGCCAAAAGCATCTTTACTATTGACTGTACTCGTACTTCTGACTCTGAAATGACACGTGAATTTTCAGTATGCATTGCTTCCTCAGAATTCCTTCCTCAGTCCGTTTTTTCATTCCTTCTCAATCCGGATTCTGAGGTACTTTTAACTGTATGACCACAATGAAATGAGCCTCTTAAGCCACACATCCAGGGGCTGGCATAAAAAAATGTTTGCCCAAATACTGTATTAAACAGAAGCATCAACATCTTACAGTCTGCTGCCCCTGTGACAGCAGCTCATAGCACTAGACATGACCTAATGGTAAAGCAGGTGCATGGCTGCTCCTTCTGGACATATTAATTTGCCTTTTGAAAGTCTGAATATGCATCAGAAGCTTAAAGGCATAAAATCATAACATCAGCTGTGGCGAAGGCACTTTCAATAACTATCTAGACTTCAGGGGTAATTGTTTTTTGCTTTCCAACATCCTAAGGACAAGTCAAAAGGACATTTGATAGGCTGTTATTAGGCCCTATAGAAAGCAATGAAAATGAGGAATATCATTTGAGAAACACGTATTCGAGTTGAGAGGAATAATTATTTGGTGCAGGCAGGGAAAAGAAGGAGGAACAAACCAGCTGCAGTAGCTGACAACTCCACAGTGCTTCTCTGGAGCAGACACTCATAGTCTGCTGCTCTTAGAGACAAAGTCCCCGTGCCGGCTCAGCCCTGCAGCACACACACAAGACATTAAAGCATGAAATGCATAAAACAAACACACTGGAAGCAATTCAGCTACCAAGACATTCTGTGAGTTTACACGTTCCACTGGAAATAACATTGCTGCTATGCAGGAAAAAAAAAAAGTAGAAACAAACCCAAAGAAACCTTTTCTTTCATGTCTAGAGTTTACTGCTCACTAAAAATTAAGATACTCAAGCATTAGTCATAAAGGAAGGGGCATAATTCAAAGGGATAATGCACATACCCATCCTTAGAAATTCAGCTTTCAAGATTTAGACAGCTGTATAGGACTTGTTGCCACTGCTTACAAGCTCACTGCCATACACAAGGCTGAACTCCCGTAATTACAGCTCGTGGCTGGGAAGAGAAATATTACTTCAAACATTTGGCCGCAGGAGTTATGCAAAATATTTTTCTTCTGGATACAGGCGCAGAAAAGTGGGTAACATGTGAAATCCTGTTATGTAACCTGTGAATTTCATTAACCGCGCTCAGGCCCCGGCACGGAGCCTCCCGCGGCAGCAGGCACCACGCAGATGGGAACGCGGAACTCCTTCCGAAGGCGTGTGCTGGCCTCTAGTGACAACCGGGCGGACACACACCGGGGCAGCGCGGCGGTGCGTCCTCTCCTGTCGGTACGTGTGCCCTCTGCGAGGCTCCTAGGACAGTGTCCAACTGGAAATCTGCTCAAGTATTTCTGTAATGGCCATTCCCAAAAGCGCACAGCCTTCTCCAGGGCAGTACCGCGATGGATTTTCAGCCTGTTTTCATTCTTGCCCTGTTGCTGTTTGGATACTTGGTACACAGATCCCGAACCTGGGACAGTATTTCTGCCCAGGCAAAACCCCCTGACAATTTTACCCTGTAAATATACCCTTGAAAACAAAAGGAGTGATTCTCCCGGTTCGGGGGTTCCGACATGACCCAAGTCAGGTCCCTAACACACAAGGTCTGGGTTTTAGAAAAGCTAGCAAAAAGAAAATGGGACACAAAGGTGAATACAGGCAGGACAGTGCGTGAGTGCGTGTGACTGTCTCCTCTGCTGTGCTATCAGTGTGTGTGACTGCCTCCTCTGCTGTGCTATCAGTGTGTGCATATATTTGCACAGGGCCATGAAAATCCTATTTGCTTACTGAGCCAGATAAATAGGTAATATTTTCTCACGCATACGGAGCTATTCCAACATTACAGAACTGAGAAAAGCAGGAAGCTGGAATGTTCTGCAGCTTGCTGGCTTTCTCATTCCACTGAGCCCTCAGCTGCACATAACTTTTACAAGGGGAAAAGATCTGCCTGGCAGTCTGTTAGATTGTATTAGAGCTGATACTAATGATCCTTTTAGGGGAGAAAAAGAGAAGGTTCATTTGTATGGCCTGGAGCTGTTGTTGTTGGCACTGAAATGTGATCCTGCTGCAGAAGAGCAGCCGGGACGGGAAAGGCAGCTCCTCACTTTATTTTCAGCCTGTGGCTGGGGAAGGATGTAACCAACCCCTGCCTTATGCATCGCTCCAAGATCTGGAACACATCTTCCAAGTATCATGCTATTTGATTTTAAGTTTGTTTTCGGGATGGAGGATTGTCCTAAGTACTTATTTTTTCACTCATTTCGAAAAATAATAATTTTAAATAATATCTACATGAAAAATTCACTCAGATTTTCCCCTGAAAGCTCATCTTACAACTGCTCCCTTGACTGTAAACCACTTGTCTGGCACAGATCAGGAAGTAACTTCTCACAAGTAAGTTAAGAAGAGGAGGGGAATTTCTCAGACACAGAAGTATTAAATACTGAAATATGGCTGGAATATTGAACAAGGAATTCCTCTTCCTTGACTGGACACTGTACAGTGGAAGCCCTTCAGGACTGTATTGTCAGAGATCTTTCAGATTCAAATTCTTATGACACAAAATCTAAACTGCGATCAAGAACACAGTTATAGTGACATATAAGTGGTCACCAGGTTTCCCTTCTGGGCTGGATCATCACTAAAGACTGAACTCAGGCTTTTCTTTATTTAAATCCTTCAGTCAGCCAAAAGACAAGCGATGTTTCACCTAAAGGCAGCCCAAATGCAGAACCAAAGCCGGGTGTGTCTTTTTTTCCTTGAGCTCTCAAGTCTGGTTACCCATGACTGGTTAGTGAAGGTGAGTAATATTAAACGGCATGCACATATTATCATAACCCTTCAAGACTTATTTTTGCTGCTCTCCAAGACACAGTAAACTTATGTCTCACAGGTGATATTTCAATTGATTACTGTTGCCATGAATGTTTTATCAGTACACACAAACCATTCACCAAGCACGTCACTGACAGGAAGTGTTATTACACATGGTCAGGGGTTGTCCTCTGCAGAGCATGCACAACCCAGTTGTGAGTTGGAAACTGTGCTGCTGAACTAAAGCACCAGCAAAGGGTTAACGGCACTTCTTCAGCACTGACCAAAACTGCAGACACCAGACGTTTTTAGATTGCTCAACATCGATTTGAATAACTTACTGTTACAACCAATATCATTTAAAAACAGTAACAGGAAGGCAGCCCATGTTCTTGCAGATAATACCTGGGCATAGTCCATCCTCCAATGGAGCTGGTGGCTGCTCCCAAGGATGGAGCTGTGAGGAGCCGCTTGCCCTCAGCCCACCTGGGCCTTACCTTGCTCCCAACTACTGGCACAGGTACAGCCCCTGGTGTGCACTCCTACAGTCACCAGTGATTTATACAACCCGTCACAATATTCCATGAAAAAAAACTATTGAAATAAGAAAACAAACCAGGAGCAAAGCCCACCTCTAGCGTGAATGATGCCTATCCTGGTCTTCATAATATTCTTACAAATATTCTGGCTCATTTTTTAGAACAGATGCATCCGCAAAATGTTAAGTCCAGAGAAACTGTCACTTAACAATTTGGAGAACGCTAAGAAAATTCAGCGCAATAACCTGGGTGTCTGCACAACACGAGATCCGTGTTTCCAGTTGCATTCACCTGGAGCACTTTTGCTTAATAGTCAAGAGAACTATGGAAGGAAAATAATTGTTGAAGTTTCAGCTTGACCTAAAGTACCAGATCCAGAACACAAGGCAAACGCCTGCCCTAATCCTGATTCCGTTTCAATTCAGATCACTGTACTGGTGAAGTTAGAACAAAGTTTAAGGAATGTTTAAGTATCAGTGAATTTTACTTCTCTGTCAATCTAAACTGTATTTTCATGCTAGTCTTACATTTCTAAATAGTATCCAGCTTCTGTATATTTCAAGCATCTGCACTAAGGTACCAACACACACAGATGGCTTTTGCTATTCAAACTTCACAGTTGCTTCTCTATACGGAGCTGAGATAGCTGTGAATACACAGATTAGGAATTTGACCCACACACAAAAGCCAATCTTGACCTGTTTGCATTTCTAGGCAAACATGAACATTGATAACCTTTGCTATTTGCTCACAAAAAATAAAAAAATAATTTAAAAAAATGGAACTTTCAAGTGGTATTTTTAGGAAAAATACCATCCAGGTAACATGGAATGTAATTTTACTAAGTATTAAAAAGACAAAGAAGAATGTTTACTTTATCATGAAACACTGCCAGAGATGTAGGCAGTGAAATGCAGAGCCAAGAGACGCAACTGCAGCAAGATCTCTTGCTGTATTCCTCTTGAAGCTCTAGAGGTATAAACTCTGCCCTACTAACACGACCAATTCTTACTCAGTCTGAGTATTTTTAATGAACCAAAGATTGAGTTTCTATAGTGACAGGCCAAATGATATGACTAGTGTACTTTGGTTTCAACTGTCATAAATGTTTTTCATTACCAGTTACACCCAAAGAAGTTCAAGGTCCACAGACAATCCACAGCATCCTGCTGCAGTAAAGTCCTGCCCTGAATCCTAATCACTTTGGCCTGGCAGATGCCTGTTCTCAGAAGAACCAAGTACAACAGCTTCACTCTTTGCCTTAATATCCCAGGTTAGGTGTTCTCAGAAACCTGAGGATGCTTCCAGTATACAGTTTAATGCCTCCAAAGCTTAGTATCTCACCAATTTCCTTGCCCCGAGGTTGAACAGCAGCTGTGCTCACCAGTACAAGCAATATGTGTTCATTGTTCTACCTGATATTAATGATACACTGAAGTACTGGCAGTGCAATGGAAACTTGTTCTGCTCTAACTTGGGCTTCCAGGAGGGCTGGTAGTCATTATGCTGAAAGCTTGATCTCAACGCCTCCTATTGCTCTGTGGCCCTCAGTGGCTCATACGTGAATTAAAGTGGGCAGTGAAGATTTTAACTACTCCTGTTCTTATTACTTTATCTATAGACAAAGCAATAATCTCTCTGCTTAATTTCAACTGTATTGAAAGCCAGAGTTCATCTGGTAACAGTTTTCTGATACTAAATGAATGCATATTCAATGCAAGCCAACTACAGCATTCACCTTCCAATTACAGTTTGAATAGTGGCTTGTGCCTGCTAGAAAATGAATTAAAGTGGTAGGTACAGATGCCTCCATTCTAGTAATTTATACACTGTCCTAGGCTATCCTGAGGCCCAAACTGTTTCTTACTCAACAGAAATATATTCTTAATTGCACATATAAATATTTTAAGTCTCTTGTCACATATAGTCAACTCTCATTTTGATTTCATACACCGCAGATGGGTGTAAGAATCAGCTTGTTTGTTCAAAAGGACTACAGAGGGTATGGCTGCAGGTACACTGTTATAAATGATTCAACAGTTTATTTGTGCTTTATCTGTTATTCCAAATGATAACAAAGCAAGCCAAACTACCTGGGGAGCTCTTCTCAAACACAGAGAACAGCTGAAAACCCCGGTACTTCATATGGAGTGTGGGGGCAATAGACTGCGCTGACACCGGTTGCATTGTGTGTCAACAGAGGTGGGGTTTGTAACTATTGTGCTTCCTCTTTGCAACACAGTATAAAGGTTTACAGAGCACACACTGCTCTTCACTGCAGCTGCTCTCTGTGCTGACTGAGCTGTTCCAGTTCAGAAGACAAAGAACCCCAATGGCGTTCTCTACCAGAAGCTCCCAGTGGGGTACAAGCAGCCGCTATCAGCCCCCAGCACCCAGCATCAGTGGGTTGACCTCCCGGCAAACAACCATCCAAAGGATTCAGGCACCCAGTGTCTATGGGGGGGCTGGCGGCTATGGCACCCGTATAGCCAGCAGCACCAGCTACGGGCAAGGCTTCGGGGGAAACTTCCAGCTGAATATTAGTGACAATGATGTGCTGCTCACCGGCAATGAGAAATCAACAATGCAAAACCTAAATGACCGTTTGGCTTCGTACCTGGAAAAGGTGCGCTCGCTAGAAAGGGCGAACTCCCAGATTGAAAAGCAGATCAAGGAGTGGTATGAGAAGAACACCACAGACATAAGGCATGACTACAGCTCATACTTCAAAACCATTGAAGAGCTCCAGAATAAGGTAAGATATCACACAGCCATCCTTAAATCAATGAATTACAGTTATTAGATAAATAATAATCTACTGTAGAGAATGTACGTTCCCAAACTGCAGCTCTCTCAACTATGAAAAACAAATGCTTTACTTTGCTCAGATACAAATTAGTGTCAGATTTTACATAATCCATAATATCAGATACATGCCTGCAGATGTGAGCAATCTCATACAGGGAAATTCTTTGAATGGAAATGAACTAATTGTATTTGCCTTGTGGGATTTACATATTTAAATCTAGTTTAGCACCTGTCAATTCCGAAGTGGGGTTTTTTAGAAAAGAATGCCAAAGGCTCAGAAAAAAGGAGAGCTCACTACTTGAAATAGTGAATTCCTGCTATAAACAATGAAATACCCCCACAGGAAGTCAGACTGTGATTCCAATGAATCAGACTTTGTCAGACTGTGTTTCCAAAGAACTTCCTTAAATCTTCCCCTTGCACCTTTCACCAGTTCCTTTTCCTATCCTTTGAAGGTAGACCCCTTCCAAAAACCAGTTCATCCCAACCGTTTTATATACCTATTTATGACAGGATAATTTGTCTTTTAGAGAACCCTAATTCCTTCTATGTACTTCAGAGGGAACTCAGCTTAAACCTAGAGGACTAACAGACAGCTAAAGTTAAGCGAGATGAAGACCAAATGCAGTATTTATTTCCAGAAATGGATCAAGTGTGCATTTATGTGCAAAGATTCATCGCTTTTCATCCACCCCTTTTCAGATTGCTGCCGCACAACTGGAAAATGCAAGGCTTGTTCTGGAGATTGATAATGCCAAACTGGCTGCTGATGATTTTAGACTGAAGTAAGTTCCATGATCATTTCATAAATTCTTTCATGCTTCTCTTATTCATGAAAAAGAAAAAACTTACAGGGAAGGGTGCAGTAGCTACTGATTCATTTACACCAACAGCTGCATTTTCATGTTGACAAAACAAGCCTTATTTTACAGGTATGAGAATGAGCTCTTGCTCAGGCAAAGCGTCGAGAGTGACATTAACGGCCTGCTACGCGTCCGTGATGACTTGACTTTGACAATATCTGACTTGGAGTCCCAGATTGAAAGGATGAATGAAGAACTGATTTTCCTTAAGAAGAACCATGAGGAGGTGAGGACAGCTGAACACTGTCAGGGAGACATGTGTTTTAAGCGCATGAATAAGGTCAGACTCACTAGGAACAGGAAAATCTTCCCAGTTAATCTGAAGGAATAGTACATTTATGGTGGAATTCAGCTTCAGATTAGCACATCAAAATGTACGTACCTATTCAAATAGTATACCTGTGAATGGACCTATGACACTATTATAATCAGCTTCCAAAATTCGGATAGAAAGTTCCCTGTGGCTTATGCTAATACAACCCTCCTTGCTGCAGGATGTTGACAGACTGCGCAAACAAGTGGGGGGCTCAGTTAACGTAGAGGTGGATGCTGCTCCAGGCATAGATCTCGCAACTATGATGGAAAACATGAGAAAGCAATATGAAGAAATGGCAGAAAAGAACCGTCAAGAAGCCAAAGAACGGTTTGAAAAGCAGGTAAGGTCGATTACCTACACATCAGCAAGAGCCCCAGCCATGTCTAGGTGTGGTTTGCAGTCCCTCTGGTTTTGCATTTCAGACAGAAGAACTGAACCAGGAAGTAGCGATCAACTTTGAACAGCTGCAAGCCCAGAGGAGAGAGGTCACTGACCGGAGACAGATCTTCCAGGGGCTGGAGCTGGAACTACAGTCCCAGCTTAACATGGTAAATGGCAGAGTTTACTTGAAATAAGTACTGTGTTTAGTAGACTGCTACATGGGTAAATATAGAAACCAAGAGGCTTTTCAATCCAAATGTTATGTTAACACAAAAATGTATCCTCTTGAATAATACATCTCTGTTCTCTCCCTGGGCTGTAGAAAAAGGCTTTAGAAGACACTCTGGCTGAAACTGAAGCACGTTACAGTTATCAGCTAGCCCAAATACAAGAAACAGTTGCCAATTTAGAGGCCCAACTGAGGCAGCTCCGAGCTGACATGGAGGGGCAGAATAACGAGTACAGCGTACTGCTGGACATCAAGACTCGCCTGGAAATGGAGATCGCCACGTACCGCCGGCTGCTGGAAGGAGAGGACATCGGGTGAGGAAACACTCGCACTTTGCTTATCGCTTTAGGTTCATGGGACAGCAAAGAACACTGCAAACACTGTCTGCAGTCCCGGACAGTGGAAGTGTGAACCTGTTCTGGCTATATCTGCATGAGCTGAAGTCACAGCACTGCAGAAAGAAGCCTGCACATTAAGTTCACCTATAGCTTATACTTAAACTTAGCAAGTTTAACAGAGAAAGCTCATTTAAACACCTGGTTAAATGTCTTGATGAAAGGATATTACCTGTCCTGATCAAACACACAGGATGTGTACAAGGAGGTTTCTGCAGTATGCTAGGTGCCATCTATTTATATTTTTTAATTTATTATTTGAACAGACATTTCCAAGTGGATGTATCTACAGCAGAGGCTGAGAAAGGTATGTTACACCAACTTCCTTATCTTTTAATGGCTGCCTGTTGAAATGCTATGGAACTAAGTAGCCTGATATAAATAAAACAAGACAGTTTCAGAGCAAACAATCAACCAGTGGAACCAGTGGAATCAACCACGAACTGATAAACTACAGGGATTACAGAAATCCAGGTTAACAGCAAACATACCCATTCCAGGGTAAGACAATTCCTAGGTTTTAGGCCTACAGCTCTGTGCTAAACAAGCAAAACTATCAGGAGGGATAGAGAGATATTCAACACAGTGTCCACTACAGTATTTTGGGTTACACAGAGGATGCTCAGAGGAAGAGCATTCATGTTGTAGGTACCTCAAAAGGTGACTTCACTGTACCTGCGCACTGAAAAGGTGCCTTTATCTATTTTCTCATTGCTGGGATTATTACAGCTATGTTATTCTGTCAATGGAGACTGCATTGCATTAATTCTCTGTTCAAATTCATTACCAGAATCAAGTAAAATTAAGAAGATCAAGACAATCGTTGAAGAGGTGGTTGATGGCAAGGTGGTCTCCTCTCAGGTCAAGGAGTTTGAGGAGAAAATGTAAATGGCACCAGCAGAAAGGAGATGGCCTTGGAACGTCACGGAGCTGATATCAAAACTAAAAGACAGACCTGTATAAAGAATCCAATGCAATTCTCCCTAAAAAACAGAAGGGTTGAAAAGCCAAACTATGACATCTCAATTTCTTTTTTTTTTGTGTGTGTGTGGGAGTGTTAATAAAAATCAGTAAGTTACAAAGTACAAGATTTTGGGTTTACTTACATAGTGACTAAATACATTGATAAAAACAAATCAGCATGCTCTCAGTGTGTACCTGCTTCTAAGAAAGAGAAAAACTGAGGTATTAGGTTTTTAGTTACATTTAAAAATCTGCTCAGTAAAAACTAGAAAGTCAAATGCCTTCTAGCAGGGGTTTACCAGAGCTTTTCAAATCATCTAAATAGACTTCACAAAAATACCAACACAACACTCACTGGTGGAGTTCCAAAGCACCGAAGATGGTAAGAGTCATAAGATGAAAACACGGGACAGAATCTACTGCTGTGCTAAGCAAACTGGAGACTGTCACAGGCTCGGCTCTATGTACGAGGAGAACTTTTCCCTTGTGTTTTCACACAGCTCACTTCATCAACCGGTGCCTTGAGTTTTCTCACACTTTCAACATACGGATAAATGAGAAGTTTTTAGAAGAGAGCTGCTATTTCTGAAACCTTGATGGACACCCCCTCAAACCAAAAGGAATTTACCAGATAGAGATGATACACTAAGATGCTAGTTTAATTGTGACCCAAAGTTTAGCAATCTGTTTTTTTCTTATGTACCAGCACATACAGATTTGTTTTTAAAAAATGCATTCAAACGTTGATTCAGTGCCTTTTTTCTGTACTTGAACTACCATTCAAATGTAATGCAGCTTCACTTCAGTAAAAACTGATTTTTAAATAACCACAAAGTGTCAATTTGCATTTCTTAATACATTAAAATGAAATAAAGAAATTGAAAAACCTATTTATTGTTTTTCAGTCTCTGTGAATGTTCATATCCCCAGGGACTAGAGCAAGCACCGGTATTTTACCAATAAGACTGTTTTTGTCTTCCAGTTCAGCAGTGAAAGGACCTCGGTTCACCAACTCGGTTCAACCTTCCCTCCACACCTGCAGGTCCCCTATCCCCTGCGGGCAGGCTCCTGATGCCTCACCCAGCTCCTCACTCCAAGGACTCCACACTTTCCTCTTGACAACATAAACACAAAACCCTTTCCTTTGAAATCTCACCTGCCCAGTGTGTTATTTACCGTACAGAAACACCTGCCAAAGGAAATAATGCTTTGCTTTCACTCTCATGAGTCACTGATACCGGGCTATCAATTTACTTCTACATAAATGCTTTACTTAAACCTTTGATCTACTGCTCATAATGCATTTCTGCCCAAAAAAGCACCCATGCTCTGGATGGGGATGAACTGAAATGAAAACAGTTCAGTTAACAAATGCATTGATATAATTAAGCCGGGACAATGAAAAAGCAATTCTCTGTTTACCAAAATAACTTCAAACAAAAGGTATATTGGTTCTGAAGGGTTTCCATGCCTAAACCCTCACCCAGAAGAGCTGTATTTGAGCTTTAGATTTATATTATAAAAAGCACAAAATACAGAAACAATTTGCCTGAGTTTGGGATCACGACAAACTATTCAGAAGGAACAATGGGAAGTTCCCAGCTCAGAAGTGTGAACCGTTAGTACAGGCTCTGCATATTACACAGAGACATATCCATGATGAAAGGTTTAGTGCAGAAAACACAAATTAACTTGGGTATAATCACGTCTATTTTTGTTTTCATATTGATGATCAACCTGCAGACCACATGCCTTATCACACACTTCTGCTCATCACTTTTCTCCCTTCTTATCAAACATTCAGGGAGCACCAATGTGGCAGAGATTCATGCCAGAAACGTATTATGACTAGAAAAGCATTTCTGACATGCACACTGGCAAGGATGATATGAAAGGGATCACACCACTGGCTTAATCTTACTCCTGGAATAATAGCCCCAAACCAAGAAAGTAATGAATATGTAACGCCAAAGACATTACTTAGAAAGGCTTTAAATGCGAAAATTTTACCCTCCATTGCACATGGCAGAACATGATCATGGTATCTTTGCTCTCCTCCACCCATTTCCCCTCACACAGCAAACACCTGGAGGGCATCAGACTTCCACTCCCATTGGCAATTTAGAATGTCACATATCATTTAGTTTGGTCAGGACACATTAAACTGACTTCCCCTCCAAGTGAGGAGTGGGAGAGAGAAAGAATTCAAGCTCTTCCTAAAAGGCGGGGACTACTCCTGAAACACCCACTGCCTTCCTGTATAAAGGTCCAAGTGCTCTCCAATGCGCCCTGCTCCACACCGTGTGCTTCACCCAGCAGAGCAGAGCACCTCAAGCACCATGGCCCTTTCTGTGCGCACAAGCGGTGCATCCCGGCAGTTCTCTTCTCGGAGCGGACTTGGCGGGGGATCTCTGCGGATGTCTGGTTCTAGTGGTGGAGCAGGCTTCGGTGGCAGCGGGCTTGGGTTTGGTGGTGGAGCTGGTGGAGGTTTTGGTGGTGGAGCTGGTGGAGGTTTTGGTGCTGCTTCTATGCTTGGCTCAGGCTCTGGCTTCAGTGGGGGGTTTGCGAGTAGCTCAGGTGGAGGCTTTGGGAGCAGCTTAAGCAGCGGCTTTGGTGGAGGCTTTGGTAGTGGTTTAGGTGGTAGCTATGCCAGTGGCTTAGGCAGTGCTTTTGGTGGGGCGTTAGGAAGTGGCTTTGGTAGTGGCTCAGGAACTGGTTTTGGAGGGGGGTTTGGTGGTGCTGGTGCTGGGGATGGTGGCCTTCTTTCTGGCTCAAAGAAAGAAACGATGCAGAACCTCAATGATCGCCTGGCTGCTTATCTGGACAAAGTACGATCTCTGGAGGACGCCAATACTGAGTTGGAGCGCAAAATCCGCGAGTGGTATGAGAAGAGTGGCCCTGGCACTGGTACCCCTGGATCTGGGAATGATTACAGTAAATATTATCCTATCATTGAAGAGCTCCGAAACAAGGTAGCAAAGCCATGTACTTAACGTATCCTTACATTTGTAATTCAACTAATAATAGCTTGGATAGACATAATAAATTCCTTTCAGAAACCAAGAGGAACTTTATTCTACAGTACCAAATTTGTAATCATCTCTATCATAATGCAGGGGTATTGTGCAGAAGGAGAAGGCAGTGATGGAATCCAGGTCTACAAACTCTTGTAGATCCCAAAGTCTAAACGTGTGTTTAGCATGGCAGTTGTGTAAAAAGCTACCCTGAGCTGCAAGGTCATTGGGCTAGAGAAGCATTCCCTGAACATTCTTTGTATTCCAGATCATTAATGCAACTATTGACAATGCAAGAATCATTCTGCAGGTCGATAATGCCAGACTGGCTGCTGATGATTTCAGACTCAAGTAAGCGTGTCTTAATATTACAAAAACTTACTAATATTTTAAGGAAATCATTATTTTGTATTTAGAAATCTTTTTTCCTCGTAGAATACTTTCACATAACTCTTAAACAATATTGTAATAATTACATGTATTAAAATTTCATGTTAAAAGCTATAGAAGTAAATAGCAATACTTTGCATTTGACCTCATTAACCACATAAAAAGTCATATTTAATTGCTGTGCTTCCAGGTATGAAAATGAGGTGGCTTTTCGCCAGAGCGTGGAAGCCGACATCAATGGTCTGCGCAGAGTTCTTGACGAGCTGACCTTGACAAGAGCCGATCTGGAGATGCAGATTGAAAGCCTGAATGAAGAACTGGCTTATCTCAAGAAGAACCATGAAGAGGTACTTTCTTTTTCTTTGTGATTGTAACAAGCCAGATGGAATTGTGAAATAGCAAATTATTCCCTTATTTATGCCAGTGGGAATACCCTGGTTTCCTTATTTCTTTTGTTTGCTGCTCCTTTGGTGTTAGTACTAAGTCAAATACGCACACAACCTTCAGAATCTTGTTGAAACAGAATTGTATCACATATATCTCTTTACATATATTTTTGGTAGAACTATTATCTTAGTAACATAAACTTTTTGTTATTTTTAATCTCTCCAGGAGCTCCAGGGCATCCAAAGCAGTGCATTTGGCCAAGTCAGCGTTGAAATGGATGCTGCTCCAGGAACTGACCTGACCAAGCTTTTGAATGACATGCGGGGACAGTATGAAGTCATCGCAGAGCAAAATCGTAAAGAGGCTGAAGCATGGTTCAATGAAAAAGTAACCACCAGAGATAGCAAACCCAGTGAAATGTATGTCCAAATGAGCTAAAGATTTGAAACACTAAAATTACACTGTTCTTCCTTGTCGTTTCAGAGCGGGGAGCTGAAAAGGGAAATCTCCACCAACACTGAGCAGCTTCAGTCAGGAAAGAGTGAGATCACAGATCTAAAACGGACTCTCCAGAGCTTGGAAATTGAATTACAATCTCAGCTTGCCATGGTATGTTCTAAGGAAGCTGCTAGCTAGAGAGAGTACACGTTCCATCTTCAAAGGTGTCAGATCTTACACTCTTCTATAGGATTTAAGATTTGTATTTATTTCCTATTAAAGCCTGCATTCTTTTAGTTCTTGAATAGCAGTAGTATCTGTAATTGGATTTCAAGTAGCATGCTATAAAGCAGATGAACTTTTATGTTCATATTCAGTGAAGCAGCAAAGGCAAGTTTTCAAATTGATATTTCAAGGGAAAAAAAGACTCCAAAATCTCTAAGTAATGGGACTGTGCTGCTCCCATTAAACTACTGCTATTGCTTTTGTCTTTGTAAAGAATTTGTTTTCCTCAAAGATTATTTAATATCCTCCTACACAGAAAAAATCCCTTGAAGACACTTTAGCAGAAACAGAAGGAGGTTACTGTGCCCAGCTTTCACAAATGCAGCTTCAGATTGGGAACCTGGAGTCTCAGCTGTTCCAGGTCCGGGCTGATATGGAGCGCCAGAACGCAGAGTATCAACAACTCCTGGACATCAAGAGTCGCCTGGAAATGGAGATTGAAACCTATCGCCGCTTGCTGGATGGCGAGTTTGTGTAAGTAACTCCTTTACATTAAATCACAGAAACACAGAATTGGGTTGGAAGGGACCTTCAAAGGTCATCTAGGCCAACTCCTTACAGATGCCATTTATCCATTATATTTCCTGCAGCAATATCCTTTCAGGACAAAAAAGGTAAACCCAGGGGGCACATTCACCAAAAGACAATAAAGCACATCCAATGCTTCTGAAACGACACAGATGCCCTCTGACTGGGGAGAATGAACCATTCTGCTCAGTATTTGAAAAAAAACCACCAGTGCCAACGTGAAAATCTCTCCTGACCTGACAAACCTGCTGCAGTACTGTGTGTCTCTGTTTCACTTTCAGGAACTCAGGACAGGGAGTTACATTTGAAAGCTCATCCTTGACAGGGTGCAAATCTCAAACTCAATCACTGGATTCTTCTCAGGGTAGGTAGAACTTGATTAAATTAAACTGTTTCTAAAGTCATTCAAATAAATAAAATAATATGCTATTCCGTTTAAGTACATGAGAGAGTTTGTGGTAACAAGAAGCCACTTTGAAAGAAAAACTGTAACTGTTCATGTATGTGTGCTGCTCTGGTTTAGCATCTTTCACACTTTGAAAAATACCTTGAAAAATACCTGTTTTATTTTCTTTATGATGTTTAGATCCTACCAAAACTAGAAAGATCAAGACAATTGTCGAAGAGGTGGTAGATGGAAAAGTTGTTGCATCCCATGTTAAGGAAGTTGAAGAGAAGGTATAAGGCACAATCTGCTACTGCAAAAGATCCATTCACTCCACGACTTTGCAAAGACAAAATGGATACATGATTTTGTTCTTATGTATGAAGTGATAAAAAATAGTTGGCTTTTTACTAAGATTCTTTCATATAACACAAAGCCTGCAGCACTTTCATTCTTAGCCACCACGCAATGTATTTTCTGCTTCAGCCTATTGGTGTGACCTGTTGTATTTTCACAGTGCTCTTTAAATATATCATCGATTCTTTGCTTAATAACGACATATGGAGCACACATCAGACATTTAATGAGATGGGCTTTTTAATCATTTTTACCAATTAATATACAAAATAATTTTGCTATTCTAACCTCATTTTCCAGATTTCTTGACTAATAAAAAGGACGCAACAAGCTTTAGTAGATTAGTCTCCCTTTATTTTTCACTTTGGACTGCTGCCCCTGTTCTGTATTTCCCATTCCACTGGGTATCTTGCTTGACCCCACCATGTGTGTAATACAGCACTCCCCAAGAATTTAAAGAAATTAATCCAGTGCTAGAATAAAGAAACCTTGCTTAAATGTGGGACTAAAGGCATGAACCAGCTTGAGAGGTTTCGCAATAGACCAGGCAGACGAGAGGGGATGGTGGGTTTCCATGTCCCCGGGTGCCACCTGGTGGGAGCACAACGTGATCTCAGGAACCCTGATGGACTTCCGGATGACCAATTCAACCAACCACGCGAAAGAATCACACCCAAAACAGAACTATGAACCAAAATACAATTCCCTTACAACGTACACGTGAGCCTTTGTTCTTAACCCAAAATGGCGATTTTTGTGTGATTCTCAGGCAAGACAAGTTCCTGTGGCCTCTGACATGCAGATTGCAGTCTCTCTACAATACAAACGTTTTGCACATTCTACCACATTCCTTAAAGGCTTGACCCAAAGCAGAGGTTTAATGGGAGCACAGTTTTCATGCTGTGCTTCCATTCTGCCTTTTGTAAACCCCACTGCTGGCAAGTTTTCTGCTTCTTGATGCAAACCAATAAAAACCAAAGTCATCAAGACAACAATCAAAGAACAACTTCACAGCAATCCCAGTTGCAATCCCAGAGTACAATTAGAGAGGAATTTTAAGATTAGAGACTGAAGGACATTCTTTCTCTTCCTAAAACAGGACAGTATTCATCATGTTTCTTTTCTACCCATATTTTTTTTCCCCTATGTGAAAAACCTGAAGCCGTATCATCTTCCCCCTTATTGACAGCATCTCCATTTTGAGGAGAAAAACATGTCCCTTTTATTGTCTTCTTCCAAAGACATTTATACTTTCAGAAATACGAAATAAAGTACATACCTCAAGGACCATGACTGTGATTGCCGTAAAATCATGATTCCCTATACCATTCAATATAGATTTCCACTGAATAATCTTGTAGTTTATTTACACATGCATTAATCCCAAATTTAACATCTGGAGTGCAGATTCCATGCGTGTAAAACCCAGAAACCACTCAAGCTCATCTTGTGAGAAAGCAACAACAGTGAACGAAAGCACCTTGCAATCACTATTGCATTATCAAACTGTACCACAGGATCCAAACAACTCTTGTGTCTGAACTCTAAAGTTAACTAAAATCCAACATCTATAACAAAATATGAACATTGAAGTAGCTAAAATTCAAAATTACATCAATACCAATAAAGATGGATGCTTGCACCCACCTACCTTCAAGATCTCATCGCCAGAGGTTCTCTTTACACCTGAAAAAAAAAAGATGGAAAAAGAAAGCATTAGAGATAATGTCTTTTTAAGAAAGCTTTTAAAAATTGTATCAACTGGCAAATGTTTGGCTCCTGGTAATGTGAAACTTCAGCCATAGATGTTTGTTGATGCATAAAGTTTGGTTTCTGGGACCAAATCCAACATCCCTGCAGACCTCCATACTGTATTTCTGACTTTAGCCTTTCTGGCCTCACTGCTGGCCACTGGGCAACCTTGACTCTGCCTGCTGGAAAGTACATGTTCTTAGTCCCAGAGAGCTGAAAGCAAACCTTAAACAATCGCTACTGCGATGCAAAGATAAAAGAAGATTCTAAATTACATTTCAAGTTCTTAGTTGCTTAAATACATGGGCTCTTCCTACTATTTATACTGTCCTAAGTTATAATATCTTACATTGGTTTGATGGATTCCTGATGGTTTTGTGACTGTTCTCATAACACCAAAGAAAAACACTGTCAATATTTTAGTTAAGCCACTTATAGAAAAGATAGTGACCAACAAAAGATTCTCATCTCAGTCCAGGTCAGCTGAAAAACAGGCAGCTAAGAAAAATAAAATCAGAACACAGGATCCTTTCACATGGGCCAGCAGACAGAGCCAAGGACAAGGAATCCTTATGCACACAAGGAAACTTTCCAGTGGTACAATACTTTGACTTCTAAAAAGACAAGCATCTTGTAAAAGGTTACTGCCTTTTTTTGTCTAATTTCACTGATGTATATTCTTATTTGGAGCCTAAAACGCAATCTGTCTAGTGATACTGAAATCTGGAGGGGTTTTTATTAAGTATCTGGTATTGCACATTCCTAAAAACAACGACAAATAGGTGAGAGCTGTTCTTAGCAAACAAGGTCGCTGGGATCAGGCAGCAGCTACAGTGAGCCAGGAAATGAGGAGTAATTCACGGAAAATACAGTACAGCAGACAGCCTCCACTCTTGTCCTCCTTGGTAGCTGCAAGGAAAGGTACAAGATTTTACACTGCCTGCACACTCTGTGAGCTGAGCACTGTCTGTCCATGGCAGGGGTCTGTGAATCGCCCCTCAGACAGAACCCTGGCACTTCTGGCAGCAGTTAGCGCTGGCTAGAAGCACTGATTCACCAGATCTTTGCACAGGCCAGAAAAGGAGCCAAACCCCTTGGCAATGCTGATTCCTCTCCCTCTTTGTGTCCTGCCTGTAAACCACTGAAAGGCTGGGTTAGAGGATGTCCAGGAGCCCAGCTCTTTTTCCACTCCTCAGCCCTGGATCAGGTCACCCAAGGTTTGCCCCCACTGAGTCTCAAAACCCCTCAAGGATGGAAATCCTGTAACATTCCCAGTAACGTGCTCAGTGGTGCACAACTGCCCAGTGAAGGCCAGTCCAACGGCACTGTCACCAGCACTGGGGTACTGCTGGGAAGCTGCTCCCTTCCCTTTTGCGGCTGCACTTTCACGCTGCACAGCTGTAATTTTGTCCTTTGCTTTGTCTCTCTTAACCTCGTATTTGTAAGGTTATAAAACCCCCCAGTTAGAGTACAACAAAAGACATCGCATATGTTCATTTCGGCCATCATTTATCAATCCCGCTGCAGAAGTTACAGCCCTTGGCTTTCTCGAAGCTGCGTGTAGAAGGGAGTGAGAACCCCCGGCCCCCCCGGCGCTCCCCGAAAGCCCGGCTCTGCCGCTTTAAGACCCGCCACGGGCGGGGAGGCCCGGGCAGCGGCGGGGGGGAGCGGAGCTGCCCCGGCGGCTCCCGGCGAGGGGGACTCGCTCCCTCCCCACCGGGGATCAGATGAAAGCCATCACCTCAGCGAGGACCCAGGTAATGCCTCCACACAGCCATACAACCTCCAGAGCAAGGAGCCGTCCCCGCTCTGTACAGTTCCTCCCTCAGCCTCTCGGAGGTACAGTATTTCCTTTTCAATGCAGCATATTGCCGGGGAAGGGTTGTGATTTTACTGCAGTAAGATGTGAACTAGAAGCCAGGGATGCAGATTTTGCTCAGGGTATGAAATTCACACTGAACGAGTGCCATGTAATTCATCTGGCTGGTTTTCTGTACCTGCAGCAGGGATAGTGTTGTGATTTAAAAAATGATGACATATGCTGTAGCATGGTAACCTCTAGCTCCATGGAGGTATCCCAGAGGAAGAGAACCGTGCACATCAAAGGCAATGTGGAGAATTCATGTATATACAACTTACTGGTTTTAGCACCTATATTAAAGCAAACAGTACCCATTCAGGGAACACTATTTTATAGTGTTCACAGTAAAACTGTGTTATACTCCTTGGCAAATAGTCTGATCTTTCATGCAGACTGATTCAATGTTATCAACACACAATGCTGCTATTACAGATTTACATACAAAACACCTTTAAAACCCAACTGAACTTGGAAATAAAACAGCCAAACACTTTTTGGCCATCAAGCATTAAGAAATTCAGGGTGAAAAATAGGTATTATATCACCTTGTTTTACTTCTTGGGTATTGCAGAAATCCTGGAGGTTTATTTTAATCCCAGGCCTGGCTGCTGCTGCAGTCAGGGTGAGCCCCACAGCAATGCAATGGCTGTAAACTAGACAGCTAAACCAGGTTTGTATTTGCGTTTAGTACAAAGCAGCCAATGTGTATTCATATGATCTTGTCACATCAGTTCTGCAGTACCCAGGCAAAAAAGGGTAAGCAAAGAATATCCAGTGTTCACTTGTGGATTAGCCAAATCTAGATTCTTCACCAAAACAATGGCATGGTAAAAACACAGCACATCAGTATGTTATAGGGGTAAAATAAACTTAATCTACTTGTCTTGTAAAACCTGAACTAAAGAGTTGATGGCATTGTAAGAACCTACATAAAGCAGTAAAATATGCAGAAGAGCATGTTTTGTTTCAAGTGCTTATGGCATCTTCACCGCTTGCAGTAAAACTCAGAATTGACAATCTCAAACCTCATCGATGACGAGGTCAGGCAAAACCACGATCATGCAAGCACCCCGAACGGCTCCTGCTCTATAAAGCTGTTCTTTCCAACTAAATATTGTTATGTGTCTATTTTATTTTCATTATTTGAATGTATTTTTTAATATTTTCATCTGTCTTTTGTACCTGCTGTAGACAGAAGAAGCTACAATTAAAAGAATGGACAAAGATGCAGAAGCATTAAAGGCAGCCCGAGCAGAACTCTGTGAAGCGAGGCGGCAGTGGCACCACATGCAGATCGAGATCGAATCTCTCCACGCTGTGGTAAGCATCATAACATGAAACTTGAAATCTGAAAAAATGCCTCTTTTCTCTTGGTGTAAACTACATCACAATTCAGTTTCTGTAACAATCATGTCCACTATACTGCAGAAACAGAATACACACAGAAACACGCAGCTTTGGGGTGTACTTTCAGCTTGTCACACAGAGCCTGAACTAGCAACAACCCAGTTGTATGTTCATGTACCACAGGACAGACACGTGTTTGCATGTTTTCGTGCCAGCCAAACACAGGTTTGCATGATGCGCGGTTCTCAAGCTCCCAATCACTCTGCCTAACCAATTCACACCAGGTTTAGAACTAGTTTTGAATATGTGGGCCATATCTATCCATTCATGATAAAGTATGGCAGCAATTTATTGAATTCAGTAATACAAGACCACA